GGAGCGGCGTGTTAGCAGCGCAGAACGCGCACTGGCCCCTACAAACCTAACGGGATACTTCACGCATTGCGCAATGCGTGAAGTATCCCGTTAGGTTTGTAGGCGCCTATGCGCGTGTCTCGCTGGTTGCCTGCCGCGCCGCAACGCTTTAAGCAACTATTTCGCGTCAGAGGCGTTGCACAGTATCCTACAAGATTGAAGGCGCACGAAATAACTAGTCAAAGAGAACTTTCAATTATTTTGACTGCATCTGTTACTGAAAAATGTTTAATTTGGCATTGGAGCGTTTCCTAGGCTCCCGCTTTGGTTTTCATCTTATCATATCCGTACAGTGTACACATGTACACTGTACGGACTGACTAGTACACATCTCTTTCATGACTTGATTCATGAATGAAATGTTTTTAAGAATGATGATACTAGTAGTATTCATTTATTTTTGAGGTGGTTCCTGTCTTTAAATGAGAAGAAAAAAATGTGGACATAACATGTCCACAATTTGGACAATTTTGGACATATTCATTGTTGACATTAAATCATGTGGACTTAATAAAGACTTGCCTTAACGTTTAGTGGACATAAATAGCGGTGGACATTTATTTAAAGGACGAAAGGTAGGTGGACATAAAGTTTTGGAAGCATTGCAAAATGTGGCCCAGTTAACCTGCATATTTTTACGAGGGACACACAAACTTAGGTAAACGCTAAAATGGTACTTTTCTCCCTTAAGTCCGATTTAAATTATAAATACCAATACAAGACTATTATTTTGACGTATATTCTGTCTCCGCACAAGTGCGTCGTAAGTACAGCTCCATCCCGTAGGTATAAACAATTCATCGCCCATTTTTACACCGGCAGTGAGTCAAGGCCGCATCATGGCCTCAATGTGGCCCGGCGTAGCCTTCGTTGCGACTGATTTAGCGAATGCTCAAATTTTCCCGCGGGGACGCTGAAAAGTGGGCGAATTTTACTCGAAAAACGGCAACAATGAGCCATGGTCTGAGAACTTTACCGATCCTGACGCTAGCAACACAGTCGTGACTTTGCACTTGAATATGCTGGTAAATTCTAGCGTGAATTGTCACTGCAGCCGTCAACCTACTACGCGACTTAGCGCCGTGAGGCCGCTTGATTGCTCCGGAATAGACCGTATTCGATAACGGTTCGATGTATCGTTTGGTTCAAAACAATAGAACATAACCTCAAACCAAACTGTAAGGATTTTTATTGGAAAAGCTGAAAATGAGAAATTTCCCGACAATTTCACTTTGCATTGGCATTTGGTACTCAAAAGAATAAAAAATCTGTTTCAAAAGATCCGTTCTCTCAGATTTCTGAATTTACTTTTGAGGCTGTGTTTATGTTTTGAACCAATCGATATCGATACAATCTCACCCGTTTGATGTATCTGTTACCGGCAAACCCCGTTTTTCAGGCAGACCTAGGTCTGCCTAGGCAAACCTAGGTCTGCCTAGGTAGACCTAGGTCTGCCAAGCACCTCGTTTGGCAAACCTAGGATTGCCTGAAAATTTTAGGCAGACCTAGGTTTGCCAAAAGTGATTTTAGGCAAACTAGGTTTGCCAAACGATTTTTTTGGCAAACCNTTCGTAAAGCGCTTGCACCAAACGCATAGCTCGAAGCAGCTGTAGCGAAAACTGATGGCTGCAGTAAGCAGCGTAATTTGATTGCATTTTGTTGTAAGGATGAGCCATTATCTCCATATAGCTCTTCCAAAAAATTACCTAGTCCATATGGAAACTAATGTCATACATGATGTTTCTAAAATGAACCAGAAATAGTGGTTCCTTATTCAGGGTGTCTGTAAGTCCGGAATTACGATTGTTTTTAAGGGCGGTCCGGAATTTCTGAAATAGTGCGGAAATTCTGCAAGAAGGTCCGGAATTTTTTTCATTTTTTTGTCATTTTTGTCGCAATTTGAGAGAGAAATTCAAATTTTTGAACTTTTTCGAATCTCGTCAAGTGGAGACACTGAAAAGTACAAAAGTTTTCTATTGAGGAGGTACTGAATTTCTCGGGAATGTACTAAAAAAGTACTGCTTTTTGGCCAGCTTGTTTTAGTAGACACCCTGTTATTGCAAAATGTGGCCCAGTTAATCTGCATATGTTTACGAAGGACACACAAACTTAAGTAACCGCTAAAATGGCACTTTTCTCCCTTAAGTCCGATCTAAGTTTAAGGCGATAAATACCAATGCAAGTCCATTATTTTGACTTATATTCTGTCTCCGCACAAGTGCGTCGTAAGTACAGCTCCATCCCGTAGGTATAAACAATTCATCGCCCATTTTTACACCGGCAGTGAGTCAAGGCCGCATCACGGCCTCAATGTGGCCCGGCGTAGCCTTCGTTGCGACTGATTTAGCGAATGCTCGAATTTTCCCGGTGGGACCCTGAAAAGTGGACGAATTTCACTCGAAAAACGGCAACAATGAGCCATGGTCCGAGAACTTTACCGATCCTGACGCTAGCAACACAGTCGTGACTTTGCACTTGAATATGCTGGTAAATTCAAGCGTGAATTGTCACTGCAGCCGTCAACCTACTACGCGACTTAGCGCCGTGAGGCCGCTTGATTGCTCCGGAAAAACGCCGTATGAACATTCTGGTGTTGCCGAATTTCCTCTGATAAAATGTTATTTCCTGAGGAAAGCCATGTATATGTCGCAGGCAAATAGTGAAATCAGGCATTTTGTCAAATGCCTAGGCAGATAGTTAAATTTTGACGGTCTCTACAATTTTTTGAATTTACGGCGAGGAGCTCGCAAGTTTTCAATATTTTTTGGAAAAATAACTCATCAAACCTACGAATTCTTCTTGTCTCCTCCTCTTTATTTGCCTCTCATATTTTTAAATGATGAAATCCTAAAAATTCTGTATTTGATGACATACTGAAAATTTCCAGATGAGTGTCTGTGCAGGAGCTGAAAACGGTTTAAAATACTATTATGCGATGCAAATTTTTACTGAAAATTTTGTCTTACAGGAGAAATTAATTATTTTGTCAAAAATTAGGAAAAGAAGCAGAATTTCAATCTAAGTTAGAATATTTGACTATTTGCCTAGGCATTTGACAAAATGTCTAATTTTACTATTTGCCTGCGACATATATACTTCCTTGAAATTCTCAGATACTGTAGATTAAATTGCAAATGAAATTCTGTGAGAAATCGGAAGGAAAATATCAACAAGTTTTCCGACAAATTCGCATTTTATCGGATGGAATTTGGCAACGTCTGAAGGCTCATACGTCGTTTTTCCTTAGGATAGTAGAATAATTTTATCATAGACGTTACGTACTCTTTTGTTCTGGTTGAGCTAGTGTTTTCTGTCGGCGCTGGAGCTCGAAGGGCGTTAGCGACAGAGTAAAGACGTATGCGGGAAATACTCCAATTTCCCATGAAAAACCAAGTAGATAAAATAAACAAAAGATTCGGCAACACCGGTAAACGTCGCGGTTTGAAATTCTCCGCTGTCTGTCTTCCGCCTTCGGAAAATTGGTCGATGAGAGTCATTTTACTAAATGTGTTTATCAAAGTCTCGATCCTCGAAGAAAATAAAACATGAACAGGATGATGATTTCTTTAAGGTGAATCTAGGGTAAATAGTTGCGTGTATTGCCACCACTTCAATTTGTAGCTAATTGTGAATATTTTTTTGGGTGGGGGAGGGAGGGGTGTTCTGGGAAAAAAAATCGGATCGGTAGGAAGCCCATGGCTCCAGGAGGATGTCTGATTAAATTTTGAAGTTAATTTGCCCGAAAATGAAAGTCGGAAGTACGACCGGAAATCTTTCATGGATGGAGATTTGATTAGACAAGATAGATTTTATTTTTTGCATGTGTAGCAGAAGTATTCTGTTGAAAAGAAAAAAATCTCAAAAATGTAATATCATGCCCATCCTTTTTCCCGAGTAGCATAGATTGCAATAAGTACATACATGGTGAAAATATTACAATTCCACTGAGCGTTGTGTATGTTGCCTATAGCTCCTGTTTGAAGGGGCTCCATTTATCGAAACTCATTGCAATAAAATTGAAATAGGTTGCAATTCTTCATTACGTTGCGTATTGCCTATCTTTCTGACACATGGAGCCCATTTTGTTGATTGTTTAAAATCGGCATAAATCTACTTAATAATGTAAAAATATTGCAATTTAATGATAAAAATATCACAATTTAATTGAAATCAAATTGTAATTTAATTTCAATATTTTCGTTGCACTGTGCTACTTGAAAAGCCGGCAAACCTCAATCAATCACTCTACTGACAAAAATTATCTTTTTTACACCGCTTTTTCGCTTTTTTCCTGAAGTGATTTTTCTCTCGTTTTTTAAGTGCTGCTAATGGAGGTCGAACTGCCATTTTCTAATTTTTTGAAGTACTTCCCTCTCGGATGTTCAGAAAACGCTGCTTAGCCGAACGAAGAGGAAAAGATAGCCTTTGTCTAGATTGTGTCAAGATTTTGTTTGGTGAATACTCCGGGTATATGGAATCTAGATAATTGAAGTTATGGGAATAATGTGTAATATTATATTATTAGTAGTTTTTCTTTAAATTGCTTATTTTTATAATTGACTTTGAAAAATTCTATATCTTGATAATATAAAACATAAAGATTCCGTACATAACCCGGGTATAGCGCTCTTTGGGATCATTACGATGGCCAAAGTGCGAAACCACATATCTCCGTTTGCAACGTTTCAGACTACCTGTCATATCTTATGTTTTCTTTTAAAACATATTTAATGTAATTTCTTGAAAACCTCTCGGAGATTTCTTCTCTATCTGCAGAATATTTTGGGAACATTTTAAGTTATAAAGTTGGTTTGTTTTTCCTCTAGAAAAATAAAATAGGAGTCCAATTTTGAAACCTTGTAATGGAATAATTACGTGGTCTCACTTTGGCCATCGATTGAGTCGATATATCGCTGTAAACTAAATGATCTCATAGATCTATGTTGATATTTTCTGTCCAGAGTTGCTGTCCTTCGTCCTATTCATGCTCATGCTATGTGCGTCCGTCATAGCTCTCAGTTTTTGGAACAATATGATTTGCAGACGAAATAACCCCAGGTGAGTTTTCAAATTCATCCATTCCTTTGAAATGAATAGAAAATACATAAATGAATAATTATGTGAAGAAGTAGTTAAATAATTGACGAGGATATTCGGACTACACTTTGCAATTAGGAACCACAATTTCAGGCTCATACGTAAAAATAAATGTATGTCTACAGAAAAACTAATGATACATATGTTGTTTTGAAGCTGAAACAGAAATTTTACTTCCTAATTGGAAAATGTAATCCAACTGAGCTTTATTCTTCTATACCTAAATGATCAAGCCATGAATGTATCTACCACTATAAATGCACGAATGTATAATTGTATACAAACGTGCTCAAATTCACTAACGAGCTTCGAACTCATGGCGTATCTCAAGTGGAGGGCCTCCCGCCTCCCCCCTTACTAGAGGTCTGATTATTTCTTGAAAACAGGGCCCAGTTTTCAAATGTCCATGGTTGAAGAGAAGAATAAACACCTTTTTATTGATAAAACATGGTCATTCGAGAGAGACTGCCACAACCCACGAAAACCGACCGGAGTGCACAAGAGAAAGCATTACGGAGTAAAACGAAGCAACAACAGAAAATGCAAGGATTGCATTCCACATGCATCAATGAGCATTGTTGCCTCGTTTTTCTCTTTCCCAAGTAGCATTTTCAAACGAAAAAATCGCGATGTTTTGAAATCAAGTTACTACTTTTTTACGATTTCTGGCGATAAAATCACTAGGATCATCAACATCCAAGCGATTATCCTTAATCGTGCCATCTCTATAAAATCGCGGTAGATAAAATCAAAATTTGGTCTCAATTTATCACGATTATGCGTTCGATAATATTATGTGATAAATCGCTGTCGATAAAATCGCGATACATTCCGATTCACCGGTCAAATCTCAACTTAATATCGCGATCTCTGTTACTTGGGTCAATGATTGAATTAATCGTTTCCAACAGAGACCTAGCGCCGTTTTTCGATCCCTTTATTTGACAAATCTAACGATGATTTTCATTTGACTGAAATTCCAGAGAGGGCTATGAGAGGAGCGGACTTGCCGAGGAGAGGGAGTCGTTAATCAAAGTGGCTCCATCTACCAGTGAAACCTCGAACCTAGACTCGAGTTCCAATATATTCCAATTGGATCCCTCCGAATTGACGGTCGAAACTCGTCCCTTGGATCTAGGATCCGCCTACGATGTATCGAACTCTCTGCTACCGCGGTGATGTTCCATGGAGGAAGGGAATTTCCAAGACTGAATACAAATGCATTTTTCCTCTCAGGTAAGTATCTCTAAATATTTCTACTCAATAAAACGGAAGGAGGATGAAGATTGATGACCAAAGTGTGAAACCACGTATCTCCGTTTGCGACGTTGCGGACTTCCATAGTCGTAGGTTTTTTTATTGTTTGTTTTTTTTTCATTGGGAAACTCTAAAAAATGTCCTTGGTTCTTATTCTCTTTTGACAGAGTATTCTGTGTAAATTGCCAACTAAAAAGTTGACTTGTTTCGCTTTGAAACAATGAAACCGGAGCAAAAATTGTGAGACATGGCAATGGAGATACGTGATTTCGCACTTGGCCATCGATACACGTATCGAGACAGAACTCGCGCAAAGTTACGTGCAAAATATTTTTTGCTCTAGCTCTTTAATTTTACGAGGTTTACTATAGAATATCCTACGCCTTTCTAGAATACCTTTTCAAAACGCTGTGCGAACTTTTTTTGCAGTTAAATCTTGAGACCTACTTTTAGCAAGCAAGGGTCTAAAAGTCCCACCGTTGTGTGAGTACTTGTGTCAATGGCCTAGCGATGAATTCCGGAAAATTCAAGCAAAAATTAAAAATACCGTTGTTGTCCTGAAGAGTTCTATACACACCCTATTGTTTTTCAGTCGGGTTCTTATTATTTCTTTGAATTCACACTTCAGAAATCCTAATAAGATGCCACCAGAAGAACGAAGAACAGGATAATCAACAAATTACTTTAACCCGCGCACGGTAACACCATCATTTTCAGGTGATGAATGGTTCTCAGTACGGTCCCCCATGCAATGGGTAGAATGTTATTTTCAACGAAAAATCAAGCCCGGAAAACCTCCATTATGATGAGGACACCGTGTCTCGGTTTGCAATGTTGCAGACTTCCTGACGTACTACATTTTCTCACAGAGAACTACTGAACGTCATTTCTTGAAAATTTCGGTGATTTTTCTTCTCTATGTGAAAATATTCTATTAGAAATTCAAACCATGGTGTTGGATCGGCCTCCTTCTAAAACATGAAATTTGAGCAGAGATTTTGAAACACTGTGACCGAAATACGCATTTTTGCACTGGTAAAAAAAGCCTCTTGGACCAATGCCGCGGTGCATTGACTTAAGAGTGCAGTTTCTTGTCGCCGGATTTAAGAGTCTTGAACTCTTGTTTCAAGCGGATTTTGCAATNAATCCGCTTGAAACAAGAGTGCAGACTCTTAAATCCGGCGACAAGAAACTGCACTCTTGAACCAAGAGGTTTTTTTTACCAGTGTGCTTTTTCACCATCAATTTGTTTTCCTAATTTATTAATTCGCCTTTATTTCTCTCTCAGGTGTCTTGAAATATGTGTTCGACTTTAGCCCTGGATGTCTAAGACTGACTTAATATGCTGGAAGAAGCACCCGAATGAGAAAAAACACTGAATACGGCTCCAAGAGTTCGCGAAAAATATTTCTGACGAGTCTGGCGGAAACATCTAAAAATATATCACACGCACCCAAGCGCCATCCCATGAGAGGGTGGTGTCAAGCACCTGTGGTGGAATGAGCCCACTTCGTGGGCCTCAAATAGATTACAACGAAGCAAACGTTCGAAGACAACGGTGTTTTCAACTTTTAGGCCTCTAAAGACCCAAGAAAAACATTACATTGCACGGACATGACAGTATTTAAGCATCTTTAAATAAGAGATAGCTCGCTTTTATCTGGTTAACTTTTATTTTCGTCGTGTGATTTTAGATTGTATTATGTTAAGGCATCCTCCTCTTTTTCACTGTTTTGCCCTCCTAGCAGCTCAATATTAGCAATGTTTGGTAGTCAGCTTGGTTGGACTACATTTTGCAATTTAGAACTACAATTTCTGGCTCAGTTTAAAAACGACGTATGTAGCATTAGTTTCCCTATGCACTTAAGTGTTTTTCCGAATGAGCTAGAGAGTGTAGCTCCTAATTGCAAAATGTAATCCAGTTGAGTACTAGCTCTTTTTTTTGAAAGACGAGCTGCTTCTGTCAAAGACGAATGTTCCGCCGTTAGTTCAGGTGCTGCGTTAAGCGCACAAAAATAGAAACTGCACGTCAAGTGGCTTTCGTATGTTATCCGCGGTGGGTTTGAGTCGGCAATCGACTTACAACCATTTCCCGTGACAAGGCATTATAAGATCACTCGATTGTATTTTTTACAATTACTACAAAGTCAATTAGTATTAAGAGGTAAGTTCCAGAATGTTTTCACTCATACAGTCGATGAAGATAATGATGTGTGCTAAGCGTCTCATATTTGTCAGCCTTCATGAGACTTTTGACTAGCCGAAGAAGAATACGCACCGCTTTTCTTTTTATGGAGATGCCAATGATCTGATGATTTTTTTATTAGAGAAGAGATCACAATAAGAAGCGTGCTCACAAGCCTCTTGAGCCTTAGTTCGTTCCAAGTAACCACGTAAAATAGGAAAGAGATTTCATACCGTGCCTGACTCTGGCACCTCTTTAGATATAGTAAAAAACTCGAGCTGATGCTCATAGTCAATTTGTAAATGTTTTATCACACTGCACACATTTTATTCCGGAAAAAGACGAATGCTTTATTTTACGCTTGATCTCATTGTCTTGAATCTCAAGGTGTATTTTAGCCAAACGTGTATTCGTCATATTTTTAATATTTTTTTAATCGATGTCTCACTACCTGTTCGCGTGAACTGTGTTGTTGTTAAGTTTAAAATAAACTTTCTCAATTTTTGTATCTAATTTTGAATTTTTTCCTATTTATTCACTTGCGGAAGTCATTTCCACCGAGATTGGAAATCCCTATTTTGGATTTGACAAAAGGATCCAAACCTAATGAACATAACAGACATACTTTAGTTTAGGTAAGAAAAAAACGATGCTACGTCAAACTACAAATCCAAAAAAAGAACAGATCAATGCAGCATACTCAGTCACGTAATGCTACAACCACACATTCACTGCATTTGTTGTTTATTTGGCTTGTAGCTCGATGTAGCATAGTTTTTTCTTATTTGATAGCTTTGCTAAACAAATTGGCATGTTTTTAGTTTAGGCTACCCAAGTAGCACAGCACAACAAAAATATTGCAATTTGATTCCACGAAAATTGTAATTTTTTACCATTAAATTGCAATATTTTTACATCATTTAGTCGATTTATGCCGATTTCAAACAATCAGCAAAATGAGCTCCATGTTTCAGGAAGTTAAGCAATATGCAATCGCAATGCAATGAAAATAGCAAATTATTTGCCCCTTCAAATAGGAGCTAGGCAACATATACAACACTCAGTGGAATTGCAATATTTTTATTTCTACTATATGTAATTGCTGCTTATTGCAATCTGTGCTACTTGAGCGGTGCGTAGGAAACATCTAAAATAATGAACAGAACACGCCTTTCAAAAGAATTTATTTTCATTTTGAATCGATCTCTTGATTCCTGAGTTGACAATGTTGAGACGGAGGACTGCGAAGCATTGAAGCTACATTGGCAAGTGTCCCGTTTGCTTTGAGATGCTGAGGCATTGGTGGTAGTTGCAGCATACACGAAATGAGAGGTTGGATATCGACATTGTCAAAAGGTTCCGGGTTGAAGTCCTCCTTGATGAGCGGACCCCAAGCCAAGAAGAAAGCTCTCATACTTGGCTCCTCATTTGAATATCCGTGCACTCCAAACGTTTGCCCTGGCTTCACTGAAATACCAAAAAAATGTGTCATTCTTTTGAATTATATCGTGCGTCCAAGTAAAATCTTTCACTTTGCAGATGATCACTGAAGAAAACGGTACGGGGTACATAGACATACCGTCCGTTCCGGGCTCAGCGGCCGAAACTTCCGGGTGCTGGAACCGTAGCTCCATGGTGCTACGCTCGGAACTTTCGGCCAATGAGCCCAGAACGCGGACAGTATGTAATGTCCATGGAGCCCGTAAGCACGGCTTCCATGGCCGGAGTTGCTTTTTCAGTGATTTCAATGGAGGAGTGAGCATGAGAGATTTTCATTTAAAAAGGGATGGTTTATGGTTGAATCGATGATAATTTTGAAAATAAGGCATCTTTCCTCCAACAGACCAAACGAGGCAAAAATTTGACCACAGTTTGCAATTAGGAACGACGATGTTTCGCTCACTAAAGAAAGAACGCATGTGCCATTATTTTCCATATGCAGATAAGTGCTTTCACAAACAGCACCAGTTGTATTTCTTAATTGCAAAATGAAGTCCAATGAATGCCCCGCAAAACGCGTTTCACACAAATTGGCGGTGATTCTTCCAACCACGTACCTATCTCGTTTCTGTAATTTTTTTTTCAGAATTCGCTTTAAGCGGAGAAGATAAATCACGGAAGTTTACAAAAGTTGACGTTGAGTGGTTGTCCATTTAAAAGATATAGTAGGTTTGACAGGTAGTCTGCAACGTCGCACATTGAGATACGCATGGTTTGGGAGTTTTGCCGTAAAAATGTGACAGAATAGAGTAAATACATACTTGAAAATGTCAAAATTCAACTCATAAGTGAGGAAATGGAGTTTCGAGTGTGCGTCAATTTAAACTCCCCGCTGACTAGGAACCAAAATCTACGTGTATCAAGTTGAACACTAAACTGATTTCAAAAAGTTTCACAATTGCTTGCCTTTTTTCAAGTACTGGCATTTTCTTAACAAAGAAAGGAGCTCCGTGAAACAGAGGGGGAAGAAGTTTTGTTTAATAATCGGTTCCTTCATGATTTGCATTGTTTTCTGCTCATATACATATTGTGGGATACTCACAAGTAACATTGTAAAATTGAGTTTTCCAGTCCTCATCGATGTACTTGATTCTGCCTTGAAACGCGTAACCAACCGTTGCCAAAGCTAGTAGATCAGCCGTTCTGTTATTCCTCTTATAATTCCACTTCTCCGGTATCTCCTCCTTTCGATAAACTTGGAATGCATTCGTTGACTCAGCGGCTTGCGTCAGATTTTGAAACACCTCTTCCTCCCGGCCTGTTACGACGAAAGTGATAGTTACAATAGGATATCATCAACACCAGTGAATATTATGAGAAAAAGATAGAAAAAAGATGGAAAATACGGAAAAAAAGACGAAAGATCCCTTCTCACCTTAATTGCTTAAAATTACCATTGAACCTTTTTGAATTTTTTAGCATATTGAAAAATTAACGCATTTTTATTTTAACGCCAGTTTAGGTTACTTTTGTCCACAAGTAATCGATGTCTGACCTGTGTCTGATGAATGAAGTGAAAAGATTGAATAATGGTCGTGGATATAAAGAACTTTCCTGACTTTTCTCGGAAAAAATATTTAATCGGGAGAAACGAGGCAACGTTGGAATGTTCATACGGCGTCGAGACAGAGCGTGGTCCTTTAAAGGTCCATTATTCGATGCCGCGATTATTATAACGCGTTTTCGGATAATCGCGCCAAACGCACTGCGGTCGACGGCGTTGAACGTATACGAGCGCCTGCAAGGCTTTGGGAATACTTCGCGCATTGCGCCAACAGTGCGGTCAGCGCCTACAAGACTGCATGAATACTTCTCGCATTGCGCCAAACGCATGTTCATTGTGCAGTCGGTCAGTTGGCGTCAAACGCATATTAGTGCCAACATTCTTGATCTGAGTTCATCCACGGCTGAGAAGATTTGCATGTAAGGTTGACTTACCTTTATGAGGTTGGATCTGAAGAATCGGTGAACAGCCGGCCCAGGTGAGGGCAGACATGTCAACGTGGTAGCCCAAGTCGATGAGTTGCTCGAATTTGGCCTCGTGGGAACCGTGGTCGCTTACGATGATCACGTTCAGTTTGTCTGTTAGATCGAGTTTCTCTATTTGATCGACGAGATAGCCCACCGTCCTGTCCACCCTTTTTATCTGCTCGTTCACCTTTTGGCATCAGATAACAGGGATGAACGCCCTCACAATAATCCGTTAGACATTCACTTACTGTAAAAACAATCAGTTTAGGTATACTCTGTCCTTTCCATAAAATTCCTCCCAACTTTTCTTCTTTCTGTTTACCAGAGAAAATTTATAATTGACTTTAGGGCTTTTTCCAACAAGCACTCGTGGGTTTAGACGAAAATATTAAATGAGAATGTGAACCATTTTTTCGAGTCTTTAGGGCCGTTCGTAAATTACGTAGCGCGTAGCCCGTGGCGCTTTAGGGTTGGAGAAGGATTGAGGAGAGCGTTACGTTTTATTTTTACGTGTTAAAGGATAGAGACCAGACCTACGTCTAAGAAGAGTTACTACAGGGGATGGAGGAGGTCAAAAATGTTGAGAAAGTGCGTTACATAATTTGGGGACGGCACCTTAGTTAAGTATTGGAGTTGATTCCCAAAATATGAATTTTTACGACACAAATTCTACTCGCCACCTACTTTTAACACAATAACGTGATTTCTCTCTACCTCTGGACTTTTCATATTTTTTACCAAATCCGCAGTGCCCTTATTCCACTTTCTTTCTTTCTTTCCTCTTTATCTGGCCATAACAAAAAAATGGTCATTCAAAGAAGAACCACCTACCGCCTGAAATTTCCGGCTGACGGTGAACTTTTATTTTGGCACAGGTGGATAGAGCAGGCAGGAAAGATGCTTCTCATATTGTAATGAAAAGTAAGTAAAGAGCAGATTTGAGTTTAAGTAGTTTTATGTAACTCTTTGATTAAAAAATTCAAACCGGAAAAATTAAAGTGAGTCACGATGGATTTGAAAATCTCTTAACTTGAGCTTTGCGGAGGCATACAACTTCAAACCTTTCCATTTCAGTTTTAACTTGACACAGGTTCGTTTCCTTTTAATGCACTCGGCCCAAAATCGGTCCCCAGTTGTAAGGAACGCAATTTTATACGAAAATCTCAAAATTGACGTAAATAAAGTCATTTTCAACAGAAATATGACCAAATTTACCAGTGGCGTGGCGTGCTTTGCGATACATCGATTGATCTGTCATTTAAACCTATGGATTAGGATCGATAATCAGGGTGTTCGCAGCGAAGACCTTAATAATCGATTTCTTACCATAGGTTGAAATGGCAGAACAATCGATACATCGCAAAGCACGTCACGCCACTGAAATTTACTGATTTTTTCGCATGATCAGTAGAAAAATCGGTGACATTTTCACCTAGGATTGTGCGACAGATTCTCGGTAAGCATACAAGTTACCTCTGAAAATTTCGCAACATCGAATTCGACGTTTCCCTAACGAAAGAACGTAGCCGCCAAATTTCCCATCGCAAATTGCATTTATACCAGAAGAATCTTGAGCATTTCTTCCTATAACATTTCCATAATGTTTTCTCCGATCTCATACTAAAATCGCTCAAATTGTTGACAGAATATTGGAGGTCGGCCTCTAGTCTCGTAGTGGTTGTGGCGCTTGCTGTATGATCGGGAGGTCCCAAATTAGATTCCCAGCCTGGTGACCCGAGTTTGGTGGTCTCGAACAACTGTTACATGAGGCTGGCTTGATTAGGGACCCAGGGCGGATGAAGGGGGAACGGCAATAGTGAGATTATCCCCTCATTCATATTTGGAGTTTAAAAAAAAAAACAATCGAACTGGTAAATTTTTGTAACGTTGAATTATTTGAGTCAATGTCGCAACCTTGGAATGGAGTTACTTTGCTCCGTGCGGGAACGACGAATTGTAGTAACGTTCTTTCATCCCGAAGTCGAAAGCGAGTTGATTGCATAGGTCCACACTGAAAAAAAATTCTCGGCGTTTTTACCAAGGTCCGTTGGTACCTTTACCATCTCGCTTTTTTTTACCAATTATTGGTAATTTTACCAAGACAGACTAGTAAACTTACCTAAAAATCGGTATTTTTACTGTTTTTTTTTTCAGGTAAGAATACCACTTTTATTGGTAATAAATTCCCGGTAACTTTGCCATTTTATCTCGGTAATCCTGTCGTACTCGATAAAAAATATTGGCGTTTTTTCCAAGGTCCAGTAAAATTACGGAGACAGCTCAATAATTTTACCGAGATTTCTCGGTAAAATCACCAATTCCATAAATGGTAATTTTACCAAGAAAAAACTGGCATCAAATAGAACCCTGAATTTCTGGTAATTTTACCCTTTTCTTAGTAAATACACCGAGTTTTTTTTTCAGTGCAATACCTGATGAGAGCTTGGTCCATGTAAGTGACTCTGAGTGTCGGGCTCTTCAAAGTAGCCGACCCCCAAGTTGATGGGAGTCTCCGGATGAGTGAACCAAGACAACATGATGTCCACTCGTTCTTCCCACGAGACACTTCTGTTGAGAGGGATCGAGAATGTACTCGTTTTGTTTTGGTACTTGTGTTGGGCTCCCGGCCACATTAACACCCCACTTCTTCGCACCTCCGTCCGCTCACGTCCCTCGGAGGTTCCTTTTTCGTTTGTTATCTGAGAACATGGAACAAACCAAAGTCTCGGTGAAATATATATACTATACTTGTATTGCACTTAAAATTTGACGGATTTCTGCCAAACAGAACTATGTGCATTAATACGTGAGCAAAGTTATGCATATATTCTTATGGGTTTCAGGGCTTATGTCTTAATGCACATAGTTCCGTTTGGCAGAAATACGTCCAATTAAATACGTCCTGGTGACCATCTAACGATTTTATTTTATTTTTGTTCTTGGTAAAATTACGATCGCTGAAGTAAAAAAAATGCGTATATCTATTGCAATGTTAAAAATCTACGATTACCTATTACTTTCTTGAAAGGTAACTCATTAAAATGTTCCTTCGAGAATTTTGTTCAATATTTTAAAAAAATTGAAAATGTTCAGCAAATATTGAAATGAATGCTGGGAATATAGGTTTCCTTTGAAAAATAAATAATGAAACAAAACATGAACGGAGAATTGCATTGTTGCAATCGGAGATTCGCATTTTTCGCCTTTAGCTATTGATATGATATTTTTGTTGCAGCGTATTTCTCATGTTTTCGTATTCAAATTCCAAGACTGATTGATATGACTTGGCATGTGAGTAAAACACTGGAAAATGCAGTATTATTTGTAGGTTTGAAGACGACAGCTAATTTACTTAGTACATCTCACATTTCTTTTAGTTATAAAACAAGTTATAGTGCTTGTTCCCAGAACTAAATTGCCTACGAATTCTAAATACCAACGACTAAAAAATCAGGCCTGAAATTAAAGTGTCAGTATTACTGTCTTATTTGTTTTCTCACTTAGTGAGCGCCTTCAATTAGAAACGATACCTAAAGCTAATCATTGACGGTTTGTGATTATACTGAAGTGATTCCATCCGTCCCACAACTCAACATTTATATGGCGGAGGTATATGAGGAGCATCAATTTAAGTACCTAAATCTGAACTTGTGACGTTATTAATTTTACGCAATAAGTAATTGACCTGGCCCGATAATCCACGAGGACCATACTTCCAACTGCCAAATCATTTTGAATGTTTAACCGTGTTCCGACTTCAAAATGTATAAAAGTCAGGAAGGCAGTCGATAGGCATTTAATGATTGAAGCTCCGCTGAAAGTGCTCGTCGAAGTAATTAATGTATAATCTTTTGTTGCATGGATATGATGTAGAGTCTGTGGTTATGGCAGCGATTGTGATTTTCGTTAATAGGTTCTATCGAAACTTATGGCACAAGGAGCAAAATATGCGTGTGTTTTCCCGGTAATCTGGGATTGCATGAGAAGTCTAATAAAATATATGAGGATTGCGCGAATAGAAACCTTAACATCTGCTATAGAAATGCGCGAATTTAAAATGAAGTTAATTTAAGGTAGGAGTTTGGCAAAAGAAACATGCTGTTGGAAAATAAACGCATTATTATGTTAACGCTAGTTTATGTTCTATTTGTTGACAAGTCATCGATGTCTCACCTTCTGATATTAAATGAAGTGAAAAGATTGGATGATGGCCGTGGGTATGAAGAACTTTCCTAACTTTTCTCGAAAAAATATTTAATCTTTTAGAAACCAGGCAACGTTGGAATGCTCATACGGCGTTTCGCAGCATGGGCCTTCAAAGCTCCAGTATTCGATGCCGCGTTTTGTCTAACGCGTGTTCGAATAATCGCATCAAACTCACTGCGGCGCGGCGTTGAACGTATACACGCGCCTGCGAGACTGTGGGAATACTTCATGCATTGCGCCAAACAGTGCAGTCGGCTTTCAGCCCATACCAGCGCCTACAAGACTGCGTGGATACTACTCGCATTGCACCAACCGCAGTGCAGTCGGTCAGTTGCCGTGAACCGCATATTAGCGCCTACCTGCAAGACCGTAGGAATTCTGCATGACTGCGTGTCGTCATTCTTGACTTACTGCTTTAGTTTTTACCATAATGACGAACGAAAATGTCGCGTCGAAATATTTTCGATTCTTTTATTTAAGATCATGTAGATAAATTTGCGGAAACTTTTCGGAAAAACTGTGTCTGGCTTTTGAAAAACATTGATTAAATATAAAACATAAAAGTGGTGCATAACGTTGTAATCAGAGATAAATATACGCTTTCTTTCGGGCGCACTCATCGAGTAAATAGGGTGTTCGCAGCGAACATCTGAATAATCGATTCTTTGCCATAGGTTTAAATTACATAACAATCGATGTATCACAATTCACGCCACGCCATCGCGAGTTTTGAATCCATTCATTTTATAAAAAACTTGAACATGGTTGTTCTACGAATTTTCACGTATAGGTTTGTTGCGTATGTGGTGAAATTGAAGGCGAATCTGAAGAGGACGGTTTATCGTTTATTATGTTCAATCTGAGCTTATATGGAGCGATAAAAATGCGAGGTTTTCAAACAGACATTTTATCCACTTTATTTACGTTCTCAGGTTGATTTGTTGCCCATGCGCTGCGCTGGCGGTAGAAGCGAAGTTCCAGAGGAAGACATTTACCAATAGTATTTTGCACATTTATAATTGGTTCAGTGAAAGAATCCAACAGAATGATTGGATGCTTCGAAGGTTTTACTTTTTTCTCTCGCCCGAAGATTCCTTCCTTTTCCGGCAAAATCTAGGACGAGCTTTAATTAGTTGATGTCCATCAAACAAAGGGAAGATGCCAGGCTGTTTTCTGCTCAAGTCGCTTTAGCAAGGTTCTCTTTTGTGATAGCTAAATCGAAGATAAATTTCAGAAGATTTATTTCCTATCCGAACATTTGAATGAGAACGTATTCTTCTCTTACAAAGTCTTTATATTCAATACTTGAAAACACACGATAAAGGTCAGCGCGAGATAAAATCAAAAGTTTGGCTATTCCCTGAAAGATTATTGCCCTCTTAAAAGTTCTACGTCTTCTAATCTAATCATTTACGTAAGCGAGTTGTAATTCATTTATTTAATTATTCCTCACGGTTTTTGTACTCTTTCAAAGATAAAATCCTTCATTTTTCGGAGCTTTGCCTAATTTTCTCAATTACACGAGTTTTTCCGCTCGTAATACAAAAGAGACAATCCGTAAACTTGGAACAATGAGAGCAACAACCTTCGACGTCATTGTAAACTTTGAGCTGTATCTCTTTTTACTTGTTTCGCTCCCCCTTCTTCTTTTCCTCCTCTTCATTTTATTCCCTCTCATTTCAGCGTCCTTAATGTCATGGCATATGTCGTTGCAGCCACTTCTCGTGCACTATCCTAAATCCGGCGATGAATATGTTATTTGGCACGAGAGCACAGAAGTGAAGGCAGCTATGTATGTTCTTTTACCCAAAAATTACGGTCTTGTTTTTTTTTTATATATTTCAAATCCTGGTTCTACCGCTCATCAAACGCCTGATGCGGGCCTATAATAATTCATCTGCCCGTCTTGTGTCTCCGACGCAAACCGTTTCCCCCGAGCTCAATCAATAACACAAATGCGATGAAACCTACCCAAATCGGCTCGATTTCCTCATCATAATGCCAAAGCCTCGGATCATCGTAGGTGAGCTCGGAGTTGAAATCCTGCTCGAAGACCGAATTGGCGAGGACCCCGTGGGTCTCCGGGTAGAGCCCGGTGGCAATAGAGTGGTGGTTCGGGTAGGTCTTCGTCGGGAACACATTCCGCAGGTGCTCCGGCGAGCTGCCCCGGCCCTTGAGCCGCAGTAAGTTGGGGGTCCAAGATTCGTTCCGACGGATGAAGTCGTAGCGGAACCCGTCGAAAGACACGAGCAAGACGGAAGTATTGAACACGGCTCGAACCGGCGCTGATGATAGTGAAGCGAGGCAGAGGCACAACACGTGGAAATTGACCATGGCGCGGCTTACGATGCGAGCTGTCTCATCGTGGACCGGACAAAGACTGCCGGACTCGAAGTGGACTCAACCGAGCGGCAAAGCTCAGCCCTAAGCACGTGGAAATGAATCGATAAATTAAAAAAAGTCGGCTGTCCGGCGCACAGTGGTTCGAGTCGATGGGTGAGCTCGGACAAAATTTGGAAACTTTAAAAGCTCATAACTCCGTGTGTACACAACTTTGAGGCTCTAGAAGTGGTTCCATTGGTTTCTCCGTGAAATTTCCTTTTAGAGGAACCCATTAAAATTTAAAATGAAACGGAATAAACATCAGCAGCCTGATTGTTGAAACTTTAACTGGCTTTGTCAGCACGATAAGACAAGACATAGCCCTATCTGCGCTGTGTAATATATCGATTTTCGATTCTTGTCGTGCCGACATAAATTTCAACAATCAGGCTGCAGAATTTGCAAGTTTAGTCAAAAATTTCATGTCTGACCTCTCTGATGGACTCGATCCATCGTGCGGCGCGGCGGTGCACAGTGGGGAAAACGACCAATCTAGCCGCTCAAAAGTCGTAATTTCAAGTGTTTGGTAGAAAGCTACCAGAGGCTGCATTTCATTCTCAGATATCCACTGACACCAAATCAGTGATTAAATTCACCAGAGTCTTGTTTGTTATCAAAAAATTGATGATGAACCGTGAGCGTAAACAGGTAAGACTGGAAGCCCAGATGGAAGACGCACCAAATGCGTTCCGTACTGATGGTGTTCACGCAACAGGTTATGCAATTGATGGTTTTCCAGCATAGTAGAGCCCCTGAGAAGTAAATCAAATCATTTATTTCATTTCCTCATCATTTTTTCTTATAGTTTCTATTTCTTTAACACCTGCTCTGAAAAATCTGTGTTTTTGAACTTCAGAGGATTGGAATGTATCAAATATCGGCGAATTGCAATATCAGACTTGTACTCGGTGACGCAGAATTTCATGTAGTTTCATAATCTGTAGAGATATCTTGCGGTTTTTTGCGGTTCAGAGAGATAAACGAAGATTAATGGCCCGGCGTCGAGGCGTTTTTGATGCACTAGGCGCGTTGCACATTGGTTCCAGAGCCAGATCTAGGCGGCATTAATTAGAGTATCACCTTTGTTGGCATGCAATACATGTTTTAATATGTTT